TGGGGGTGTAAATAAAAATACGTTGCTGTGATTTGTGTCTGAACCACTTGAAAAAGAAGCTTCGACGTTTCGCCGAAAAACCCTTTTGTCTGAAGATATGTATAGAACCTCTTCACGGAGGGAATTCGTTCGAAACGTCTAGCCATGACATAATTGTAAGATTATTCTTCGCATAAACTGGTCACAGAGTTAAAATGTATTTACTCATATTGTGCGAAAACTGCACAATATTCAAAACATTTGTATTTTATTTGTATTAAGAAAAAAACAATTCCTTAGTCCTTCGACAGCCGCCATCGTCGTCATATCAATGGCGTCAGCGAGTCAATATGATTCTCGTCGTCATAGTAATATCCCCCCCCCCCCCCCTGGGGGGCTGACACTTGTACTCAATAAATGAGTTGAGACGGAATGTGTTAAATCAGGGGAACTGAGGGACACTATAAACTGGTTAAAGATGGCGAATGCATAGTTTTTCTTGTGTTGTGAGATGAATTCCAGCCATTTTTCTTAATTGTTGGGTTTCCAACTGAAAACTAATTTCCACACGTCACGAATTTAACTCAAATAACTTCATTTTTACTGCACTGAAAATTTGGTGAGAACACTCAATTCAAGATTGAGTTTTGGGGCCGTTTAACGGCCCTAAAAAATCCCTGAAAAAAAGCCTGAGTATTACGCTTACTTGTATTACCAACTTAGTCTAGACTAATTATCTTTACAACAATTGTGATATTACTTTCCTAACTACTGTGTGTTTATCGAAATCCACCCTGTCAACTTTCCCTGAGGGAGGAAACCGGAACGCTCACACGGGCACGTAGCGAGAAAAGGGATTACGGCCTATACGCGGTTGAGACGAAAGAAGTACCAGCCCGTAATATTGGCGATACCCCAGTAGGTAAGTACGCGATATATCACACCTTGAGAATGCTATATTTCTCGGTAATCAAACGCTTATTAACTTACCGGTTCAAGATGTCCGCCTAGAGAAAGCGCAGTCGTCTCTTTATTCACATCCCAGATATTTACACATAGATCATAACTAGCAGAAGTAAGAATATTGTTGGCTGTAGGATGATATCGTACGATGGTTGGTCGATCTCTGTGCCCTGCAAAAGAGAGAATTCTTTGTTCGTTCTGCAATGAAATAGAGTCGAAAAGACAAAAACACTGTAATAATAATATTGACAATAATGTTTTACGGTTTATGAGAAAACCATATATACATGGAACACAAAATAGTGATGGACGATTGCACATGACAAAAGAAAATGGAAGAAAGGTTTTAAAGAACTTGAAAGATGTATGCGGAGAAACGAAACCAAGCTACTGTAGGGTAGCATGTGATATGGCAAACTCTAACAGCGAATGGATAGGGACAGCTTGTAAGAGAGAAGTCGAGAAAGAAGGAAAACCGATTAAGAGTGAAGCAGAAAAATATTTCGTTGTTCTGCGCGCTTCATACTCCTCCGTTGTGCAGAATGCTGGAAACGACTGGCTGTCGCTTAGTTTATCTGAACATGTGGATGCCTTACTGAACGGTGTATCAAATGCTGCCATTTTTGCTGCAGTAAGGTTATGTATTAAAGAATCAGGGACGTTTTAACTGAGATCAAGAAATTTATACTAAATGAGTAATTCAATGTTACACATTTGAAGCAATTTGTCTTGTTGTGTGATTTATTGCAAATATCAAGAATTCAATAGTGATTAATAAGAATACAAAATAGAAATGTATCTACGAGGAGTCGGAATTGTCACATTTAAAGATGGAGGAGTGGACAAATAAAGAACATGGAGAAGGTCCTTCTACAGCCGTAGCTTTGATCCTTCAATAGCTTTCCAAGGTCCTACTATACTCTAAGTCTTTAACCTCCTGACAAACGGCCTTCACTCGAAACGCTAGTTTGGGTTGTTCAGCGAAACTGCAAGTTTATATTCAAACGTTACCTTTGAGGACCGCATTTGGTTCATCTGTGGTTTCTTTTAATCCGTCCGCACCCGTTTTCCATAATTTGATGCTACCATTTTCGCAAGCTTAAATACAAAAAAAAAACACATCTACATTAGCAAAGCAACAGAACACTTGCGCAACTAAAGGTTTTCCGCGCGCAAAATTCCGCCTGGTGGAAAACCGGCTTTACTGCAACCTAGGAGCGGCGTGGCCTCCTAAGATATTTGTGTATTTCCCGGCGTGCCTTCATGAATTTTCTTGGTTTAGATTATTTTATCAAATAACTTGTGTCGGTGGTGTAAACGGCTTTTACACTGTAAAATGGCAAGGGGCGTGGAAATAAACTCTTACCTTAAAATCATAATTATAAATATATAGAACTATATTTACGAGTATTTCTGGGACAGCGAGCCCCTCCTGAGCCGATCGAGGGGGTAACAACTTTTCACACAAAGTCACTCAGCCAATCACGTTTGGTGTTCACCCTAGCAACTGTAGATAACATATGCACATGTGTGATTAAACATACCAACAGCTATTGTTTCTTCATCAAATGGATTCATGACAAAGTCCATCACTGCACATTTATTTTCTAACACAGGAACGCCAGTTTCAGGAAGGCGACCTGTGTTACTCAACTAAAGAACACAAACATTTTGAAGAAAATTGCCTCACAACTACGAGAATTCACAACTATAGGGTCGCGATCGGCAATTCTCAACGCGGCCATTTAAGAGACCGCTTTGGTGTTAATACGTTAATACTAAGCTGGAGGAATTGAATATGTATACAATGCGTACAGAACATTAAGGTAAATCTCCTACAATGTTTGTCAAATTAATCTATAGTGATTTTCAAAAGCAGCCAAAAAGCAGAGTTCAATATAATTCTTGTCCGACCCACGTTTTGCTCGGACACTAATTTATTTACAGGAATTAAAAAAGAACGGTTGTACAGTATATTGCATTGTAACTATTTTGCTTGCATACGAAATTCGTCAACTATAGTTTTAGTCAACAGTATATTTATTTGTATAGGAAAATAAAAATGCCGGTTAAAAAAATTCATATGCTAAAGATGCACATAGAGTAATGGAACAAGTCATGCATACATGCACTACAACATGTTCAATGACATGTTAGGGCCCAGGTTTTTGGACAACCCAACGAGTGGCCATCTGAAATTCAGGCTAGAGTCCGGGATGTTCAGCGATTCCTTCAAAACAGCTCGAAATTGCTGTGATATTCGAGTTATGTAGCTATAGATGCACTTTGTAGCGCAAAGCCAGGGATATTTGAAAAATTTCTGGTACTGAACTGATACTGACACGAAGTAACGTAAACCTCTAATATACTACAGTAAGTCTCAGACCTAAACTTCAAACTAAGCTTTTCC